AAAGGTTACGTAATCAAAAAAAGTAAGCACTAAAATTTTTTCATTGAGACTTAGCGCTAAAAATAAAGTAGTGTAATGCTATGAAAATAATACTACAAAGAATTGCTTGCATTTTTTTTAACTCATTACTTATGCATGAATATTAAAGTATGGATTTTCAAAATTTATTGATACTTTTAATTTTTATTTCTTTAGTAATTAATTAACAGATTAATTACAATAATAATTGTGTGAGTCTTGTTTTAAATTTATTAAGAATCGTCTCATTTGCACTACATTTATTTACTTCTCTCAAATAGTTTTAAAAATAAAATATGCGCACAAAAATGATCGCTTTGCCATTACTTTTTAAACTTTTACCAACTTTATCGACTACTTCCTCCAATTAAAATTTAAAAAAAAAAAGATTTGTTCGATTTGCAGACAACTGAAAAGTCGAAAATTTTATACTCTTTACGGAATATTATGCACAAAAAGTATTTCCTTCCTACCATTTATTATCACTATATATTATTGCAAAAGTTAGCACAAAAGATTGATTGGCATTTGATATTAGACTACAAAAGGTCATTAAAGAATGTGATCTTTTATGACCAAAAATATTTGAATCCAAAAAAATTCACTATGTGAAATTCAATTTTTTGAAACTAAAGATAGATTGGCAGTATGAAAAATTAGTTAGTTTGCATTAAAAATAAAAAATTTACTGCCATTTTGAACAAATTTTTAAATAGTTTATAACAAAATTAGCAATATCGATTTTTCTTAATTTTTTAATCTTTTCAAGAATTGTTTTTCAGTTTATTTCTTCACACTTGCAGTCTGTGAGGAAAGTTTGAGATGTGATTGTTATTAGGTAGTAAGTTTAGCTTCAAACGAACAAAGACAAAATTCTTCTTTTGTTGATGAAAATCAAAGCTTAATGAATGTTAGCTGAACAAATTCATTCACTCTGAAATGAGATCAAAGAGTAAAAGGCAGAACTTAGCAGCTAATGAAGTGTTTTAGTTTAGTTTGCGAGGAAGTTTGATTAGCTTTCAAGCTTATTTGAACACAAATTAGAATGTAAAAATTCTATTTCGAAGTGTAAAATCTGCTAAAAATTGCTCAAATATTATAAATGAATTAAATTTACAATTTTTAAATAATTACCAATTTTGTATTTTGCTCAGTAGCTCTTTCTTCAGCACTAAACGCATTTCTGGCACGTAAAAATGCGGCACGGCAAATTTGTTCGCGAGTTGAATGTGAATAAAATCCAATAAAATGTGTCCAAGCATGAAAAATTGCTACTGCCAAAAACTGAAATTTAACCTTTGACATTATAACAATTGCATAACTTTTTATCATTAATGTATGCATAATTTTCTAATCAAGAAAATTTTTTACTGTCTCAAACAGAATTGTTCTATTATTTTGCTACTAATTTGACTTTTCTTAAAGTTTTTGCATTTTTTAAATAATGAATCATTCATTCAATTGAAATGGTCAATAATTATCGGTCTATATTGTTCGATAAAAATTAGAATTGAACGCGAAATGTAAATTAGTTGTTAAAATTTAATTAAAAATTTTACGGCTTAGCATGAAACTATATTTACGAATTAATTAAAGATATTGATTATTTCTTTGGTAGATTTATTTCAATCAACTTAAAACTGTCAAAATTTATTTTTGTTGAAAAATTCTTGCAATATTATCGATCCTTTTCTTTACACTAATTTTTTCACTAACAGAGACAAGATAAAAAATTAATGATCCGTATTAATGTGACAGATCAAATCCTAAACTTAATTAGCTATGAAGATATCATATAAAGTATTCAGTATCGTTAATATTTGAGTACCAAGTAAAACAATGGATTTAGCGTTGAATCATAGCATCTTGAGATATTATTATGTTGATATTATAAAGCAATCTTATTAATACACTTCCCGTGTTCGTAAAATTGTGCTATCATAATAATGAGAAAAAGGAGAACGGCCTACAATCTCCTAACATGTTTTATTCATATTAATCTTGAGATGTTAGAGCTGAATTTTTGAAGCGTAATAAATTAATTAAATAATTATTATTTCTATCAATTATTGCAATTCTGACACTAATTTGTTTGTATTTGATTCTTGAGAAGATTTTCTTCATTCTTTTCTCAATTTGGAGTGCGTCCGAAATTTTTTCATAGTGTTCATTTGCATGCGATCACTTGCAGAATAACTCATTTTCAACACTTCTCACTTTTCTCCAAAGTTTGTATTAATAAAATTAGATGTAAATTTGACGGCATGAAATTCTGTAAGATAGAGTGCTTATTTTGCATAAATCGCATGCACTCTCTTATCTGATTTCAGATGGAATAAATAACCTTAAATTAAAAGCTGATATGAGAAATTAAAAGTTACAGTTGATTATTCAATGTAGTTCAATTGACTGTTATGATCTAGTTTTTCATTTATTTTTAACTTGCTTTATGATCTTACTATTTATTAATAATGACTATGATTGAGCAAGTTAAAAATCTTAAATTCAAAAACTACTTGCCTGATAGTGATAACCCAATAAATATACATTTTCTGCTATTCTAATTTACTTACTTTATGAATACAGTTCAAAAATGACATTTCGAAATTCAATGTATTTGCTTTTAATTTCATAAATTAATTCATGAAATTATAAATATGAAATGACCTGTCAAAGGTGAAATGACCCGTCAAAGTTTCCATAATATCAGGTTGTAAAGAACAAGTTTCCAACTGGCTATCACTTTTTATCAGAAAAACAAAAATAATTTTATTAGCACATTTATAAATTTTGACATTATTACTGCTATATCATTATATTTTTTTCATTACTGTTACTTTCATTAAGAAATTTTAATCCAACATTTTCAGCTCTTTTTTATGATTTGTGTCAAAAATTTTTATATTATTTCTTAAAAAAGACCGAATTTGAAACGAGAAATAACATTGAATATTAAAATATATATATATATATATTATATTCGTTTTATTTTGAAACTCTCTGAATAACATTATTTGAAAATTCTTAATTTGTAAGAAAAATTTTGAAGAAGACAAAGCTAAGCCATGAAGGAAATTGTTGATCAAATTAGCCAGCCATGCGAAACTTCGATAAACTTTTTTATAATTTTAGAATTATTTTAAAAAAAAAGAACATTTCAAAGCTATCCATAAATAATCTATTTTTAAATTGATCTGATTGAACACTAGAAAGTTCAAGCTAAAATGAAAATAATATTTATGACAAAGCATACGTTTGACATTTAATTTAACATTATTAACAACTCAATCAACTTGTAATTTATTAAAATGACTTATCAAAGTGTAAATTTTTAGTATTAAAGCTTATTTTCAAAAAAATTTTAAGACGGAAGTTATTTTTCAAATTTTTCGCAATGCTAAATTTTTTTCAAAGCTCAAAGATTAAGTCAGTTATTTTAATAGTAAGCAAAGGTGCGCGATCTTTTCTTTGTCCAGATGTGACCTTTGCGAACTTTTTCTGGTTTCCCGCAGATAATTACTTTGATTTCTACCGACTGACCTTCAAAAATTTGAATGTCTAATGGCCCAATTCAAATGCAGGAAATTCGGTTAGAAAAATTATATTAATGAATGCATAAATTATAATAAATACTTTTATATATACTAAATCAATAATACAGAAAAGTTCAATTTCCATGTGATATTGTTGATATTATTCTTATTGCTACTACTATTAATTTAGTATTGATTAGTTAATTAATTAATTAATTGCTATATAACTATTTATATTGTATTATTATCATCATTATCATTCTCAAATAACTTAATACATTTTACATTTTCAGAGAAAAGATTACTTTTCGGGGACTAATCAATTTCGCTTTTTTTCAATCGGCAATCACAATTAATCAGTAAGAAAGTGGAAAACAATCGAACAGATGAAATATGCAAATTTTATGCAGAAAAAAGGCACAGAAAAATCAAAATATCGCACAGATAATTGAGAATAAAAAAAGTGTGCTTAAAGACATTCTTCAGCAAGCATTCATTGTTATGCTTCATTTATCCAAATGATTTATTTGCTCAGTTTGGATTACTTTCCTGAATACTTTGCCTAAGACAAAGGCAAAGTATTCAGAAAAGAAAAGAACATTTCAAGCATATTTTTATCCAAAATTTTGATTTATTTTGTTATTTACTTTCTATCAATTTTGCGACTTTTAGGAAATTTTTTGCGAGCAATTAATTATTCATCAATTTTTGTATTATTTCTTTTACAATTAATATTCATATCTTTCACAATTATCACAGAATTTACATAAAAGTACAAAATTGTAGCCTTTTGTAATTCCAAATCCAACAATTCATCATTAAGTGATGATATAAGCTAATCGGAATTGCAAAAAAACGAAATCCAAAAAATTCATTTTTTTTCGTTCTTTACAGCCTCTTTGTTTTCAGAATGATTAACAACTTTGGGTCAATTGCATGTTAGAGAAGAATGATAGATTTGAATTGTATAAAAAAGTGAATAAGAATTGATGAAAGATTGCTGCTGTTGATAATTTTCAGGCAAAAAATTTTTCTAGTCGTATTTGGCGTAATCACTTTTTGCTACGAGATTAATACTATTACATCTAACAGAATTAACGAATAAGAAAGGCTTAAAGTTTTTAAAATGTGTTCCAAAGTTTAAACAAAAAATATTACACACAAAAAAGTTCCTTCCACAAAAAATCTCTTTTACACTGCTAAATTGCTTTAAAATCACTAATTAATCCATCAATTTTGTTTGTGTTCACTGATAAGCACTAATTTTCTTTTGAATGCCAATCTTAGCAAAAAATATAAATAGTTTCTGAAGACATAATCGTGTAGTTTCTGAGGATTTCTTTGTAAATTTAATTACAGTTTTTTGATTGCATCTCCGATACACCGATTGCAGCTTTTTTTTTTCGTACACGAGAAAAAAAGTTTCTGTCTTTTGATTTGTTTAGTTTCGAAAAGGATTTCAAAAATCTGAAAATCTGAATTACTGATTTTATAATGATTATGAAGAACAGACTTTTAATATGCCAATCATCAAGATATAAATAAAATTTTTTGATGATAAATTTTACTAACTGACCTTTGTGCTTCGTTTGCATTGTATTTTCTTTTAAAACTTCACTAATAACAGATGTTTCGCAGATGAAGAAATTTTGCACGAATTTATTTCAGAAATTGTCACAATCAATCAATTGACCAATTTTTATATTTTAATGAGTATATTACTTAAAATAAAAAGTACTGCAATATTTGAAAAGAAGTGATTTTATTCATCCAAAATGAGTCACTGAAAGTGACCAAACTTAAAAAATTTCAAATTCAAAAAGACTGTTTATACGATTCTTATTTTTTAATATTTACAACCGCAAATATTGAATACATATAAAGACATTTGATAATTAGTCCAAAATTGTGAGAAAAGTTTTTACCACAACGATTCTGCCAAATTTTCTTCACGTATAAATTTTTAATTAATGAAGTGATTTCTGCAGTGAAAATGAAATTTATATATGATAAATATATAACTGAAATATTTTTGGATATAAATATAACTTAAAACTTAAATAAGGAAAAATTGCGTGGCTTACTTCAAAATAGAAGTTTGTACGATCTGCAAAACAGTTGGCTATTGTATTGAAAAACAAATTCTTTTGTATGTTAAATATGTTCAGAAAGAAATATGTATAACTATTAGTCACTCGCAATCATTTTTGTAAGTTTTGCATTCAAAACGCCAAAAAAATTAATTTTCAAGCATGAAGTACTTTCAACAAAAAAATAAAGTGATAAGAGATTAAATTTGAAACGAACATTGGAAATGATTCATAAAAATGTCTCAAATGAACAATTTTTATGAAAAATTTCCTTTTACAGACTGAAGTCACATCATAAATTTTTTCATATTTGAGCTCTGGAAAGACATTTTTATTACCATTTCGAATATTCAAAAATAAGCAGAAAATCAAGCATGCATATATTCAGTTTACTAAAAGGAAATAGTAGTCTTTGTAGGATGAAAAAAGGAAATGCTCAAATGTTTACTTATTTTACGCAAAATGCCAACTTTTTCCGTCAGTCAGTGCTACTTTGAACTTTGAATTGCTCAAATTAATGTTTTGTACTGCAATAATTGTCGCAAACTTTTTTGCAAACATTCAATAAATTTCATTAGATGATTTGATAAAAGTTAAATCTGCATGATAGAAATAAGACTTTCAAAAAGTTAGAATTAAGTTTGCAATAAGTATAAATCTGCAACTGATTAATTAAAAATTTTACCGTTTCAAACTAAACTTTTAACATATATCAATAAACTGAAGTCAAAATCTGAATTTTTCGATTTGGTATAAAAAGCAAGCAAATAGTTATTACTTTTTAAACTATCACTTAATCATTTCTATTACATATTACTTATTTTTTCAATTCTTATTACAGTTCCATAGTATTCTATATCCATACTTTTAGTTCTTTTCTTAAATTTTATTCATATTTGGTTACTTGTTAATTTTCTTTTTCGAATTACTTTAAATATCTTCTTCTTTAATGCCTCTCAAATTATAGAACTAAAAAGTGCTAATTAATCTTGCAATAAGTGAAAAAAGCGAAATTTTCGCGTGATTTTTTCATGCTCTTTCAGTTATCAGTAATACTTGCTTACATTATCATAGATGACATAAAGAAACGCCCTATTCATCTCACTTACAATAATTATTTACTTAATTCGATAATATGAAGAAAATCTTACCTGACTTACAGTAAATGGTATTTGTGCAAGGAAAATGAGTGCAACCAGTTGCAAAACAGACAATGCACAGCAAATAATTGCAGCAGAAGTAAGTTTCATTGGGATTAATGCATAAATAGTAAATATGACTAAGGCAATAGGCAACAATGCTGAATGTCCTGTAGGTAATAAAGTTATTGCACTAAGTGCAAGTACTTGCACTGTGCCAAATAGCACATATCGTATTAGCATAGGTTTAATAAGCAAGGCGGCTTGCAGAACTAAACATAAAGTTGCACTAATCGCACTAATAATTAACATAAAATCAAATTCCAGCAAATGCGCTAAAGCCATTAATAAAAAGTATGTTATCCATAGACACTGCACATGCAACAAATGTGCACGAGTGTGTACTAAAAGTGACTGCTGATAAAGCTGCTCCAAGTGATAATCACCAAATGTGATACCCATTGAAAGTTGCAATTCTAGGCGAAGTAGAAAAATCAGTTTACACTTACTTGACTCTAATAAATTTCTTGCTTTTATTACAACAAGTAACAATATTATTGATAATTCGCAAGAATAAGCAGCAATCAATAACTATGAATTATCAGTAATAATAGAGTAAATGATAGAATGAATATAATTATGCATGCTAATATATTACAGCAGAGAAAACAGCTTGTACGTTTGTTTATTTCTTCTTTGCAAATGTTTGATTGGTTAATGTAGTAGGAGAATTTAAGTTCAGATACGCATAAAATTAAAATAACTTTTCATTCTTCGCCTTCTCTTTTTAGTTTTTTCTTTTTTCGGTTCGTAAATCATTGCTCATTCACGTCAATCAGTCATCATCCATTGATAGCAATCATAATTACTTATTTCGATCGCAGTAAAACTGATAATCTCATCAATTTATTATTTATCTGAAAAAA